ATAAATGCAGTCAGGTTGGCAGTGAGGGTGCGAGCCACTGTGGATGTCCACAACCTAATGGTTGCATTATAGGCTAGGCAGATGCTTGGCTCTCATAGCTAATACCAGTCTCCCTATGGCTGGGCCAGCACACAGTCCCACAGATCATGAGTGTTCTGATTGCTTCAGATCTTGACAGTGCCATTGAACTTTTATTTTGTGCTTTGCCAAGGTTGAATGGCTTGATATGTGGGCCTTGGCTACTCAGAAATCTTCTTAATTCAAGTCTTTTGCTCATTTTTCTATAGACATGTTTTCTTTCTTTCTTTCTTTCTTTTTTCTCAAGACAGATTTTCTCTGTGTAGCTTTGGAGCCTATCCTGGCACTAGCTCTGGAGACCAGGCTGGCCTCGAACTCACAGAGATCCACCTGCCTCTGCCTCCTGAGTGCTGGGATTAAAGGCTTGCGCCACCAACACCCATACAGTTCACTTCTTAAGAGGAAGGATATGTGGCTGCTTTCATCTCAGAACTCACAGTACAGGGCTTGGTGCAAAAGAGGAACAAAATAAAGGTCTGTGGAATAAACACAAGCAAGCTCCACCTCAAAGGTGATTTCTGATGGGCAGTGTCTTCCCTCTTTCCTATATCCCAGACAACAGGTCTGCAGAGCATGGAGACTGAGGCACCTGTCCCTTGCTGAAGATGGCATTCAGCTCTTGAGTCTGTCCATTGTTCTTCTTCCAGCTGGAAGTCTGCCCACCTGCACCTACCCTGAGGGAGGCAGGGCCTTGCAGAGAAGCCATGTTTTAATTAACTTCCCAGCAGTCATTGGCGACACCAGTTTTCATAAACAAACGAGAGGCCAGAGCTTCATTTGTAGCCCAGAGTGAGCTATGTGGAAGGAATTTAAAACCAAGCCACACAGCAGAGTACCTGCCTAGAACCCAGAACCCACAGCTCTCTAGGGAGACTGGGGTCTGAGGTTTGAGAAGTTGAAGAAGACAGAGAAGAATAGCCAGCTGCCTGTGGGAAGAACAGAGACTCCCGGGGTTGGGGGTGGGGAGAAGAGGCTGCTTCTGGGGTGGGTGTGGGGGTCTCACAGTGGGATTTGTGTGCTTCTAGGAAGCACAGGAGAGTTTCAGGCTTCTCTATCCCATGGGGCTTCAAGTGAAGGGTTAGCTATTCGCTGGCCAGGGAGGCAGTCCCTCCCCAGACTTGGTGGACTGCTGTCTAGATCTGAGGCTTCCCAGCTTTAGGACATCTGGAAAGAACTGATATTTATGCCATCCAGTGTGTTGAGGCAGAATATTCCTTTACACTGTGTGAAGATGTGTCACTGTGATTGGTTTAATAAAGAGCTGAATGGCCAATAGCTAGGCAGGAGAGGTTAGGAGGAACTTCTGGGGACAGAGGTCTCAGGGAAGAAGAAAGGCAGGGTCACCAGCCTGATGAAGAGGAATCAGGACATGCAGGAGGAGAGGTGAAAGTCGAGAGCCACATGACAGCCCTTAGATGTATAGAAATGGGTGAACTTAAGTCATAAGAGCTAGTTAGAAACAAGCCTATGTTAAGGCTCAGCCTTAATTTTTTAAAAATTATGTTTGCTTTACGTACATTGGTGTTTTGCCTACATGAATTGAATGAATGTCTTTTTGAGGGTATTGGATCCCCTGGAACAAGAGTTATGGACAGTTGTGAGTTGCTATGTGGCTGCTGGGAATTGAACCTGGGTCCTCTGGAAGAGCAGTCAGTGTTCTTAACCACTGAGCCATCTCTCCAGCCCCCAAGGCTGAGCCTTCATAGTTAATAAAAAGTCTCTGTGTCATGATTTGCTGCGTAGTGAATTTGTTAACACCTGGTTTACCAAAGACCTTGTTCATTCATTCCCTCATTCGAGCCATGTTTTGCTAGCATCTACTGTATTGCTGGGTACTGGGGGAAACCAAATATAACCTTAAAATATGTGATCACATATTTCGAGTCATATTAAGATAACAATTAATTATTAAAAATCTGTATATATTGTTCTAAAAATGTTAAAGTGACTATTAAAACAAACAAACAAACAAACAAACAAACAGGGTTGGGAACATGGCTCAGTTGGTGAAGTGCTTGCCCTCCAAGCAAACAAAGACCTGAGTTTGATCCCCAGAATTCATGCAGAAAGTGAATGTGGTGGTACATGCTTGAGATCCCAGTGCAGGGGAGGCAGAGACAACAGGAGGCTCCCCAGGCTCAACCTAAAGAATGATACCTAGGGTTGTCCCCTGACCTCCGTGCATATGAACACACAAGCACACACATGCATGCATTCCCCCCACCCACACTCACAAACTGGACCACTGCCCCCATAGGACACAGCCTCCAGGAGGTGGGGTGGAGCACCACTGCCCCCATAGGACACAGCCTCCAGGAGGTGGGGTGGAACTACCCAAACATCAGGCAATTGCTGACTTAACTACTTTCCCTCACACTTTGCTCATGGCTTTGTCTGAGATGTAATTACCATACCACCCAGTTCACCTGGTTTCGGTGTGTAAGATGTAACAGCCCTTACATTAACCAGGGTCAAACAACAACGGACACCATCAGCTGCAGCAGGATTTTCTCTCCTCCCAGGGAACTGTTCCTTAGTTAGCCCCACCATCCCTCACTCACCATCCAACCCTGACCCAGAAGCCTCATACCTTCCTGCCTCTGTGGATAGCCTGTGGTTTGTGGCTCTCTGTCTGCCTTTGCAGAGTCATGCTGTCAAGTCCCAGTATGCTGTGGCAGATGCTATTATGGACTTTTTGGGAGGGCCATGACCTTGAAAGACAACTAGGAACCTGTCCAGACTGCCATCCGAAGAGGCTTTAACAGATTATTTTTAGCCAGAATGGTAGTACATACCTATAATCCCATTACTTGGGAGGCAGAGGCAGACAGATTTCTGTGAATTCAAAGCCAGCTGGTTCTACATAGCCATACCTGTCAGGGCCACACAGTGAGACCCTCTCTCAACAACAACAAAAACAACAAAAAAACAAAGCTATTATTATTATTTTTTTATTTATGTGAATGTATATGTCTGTGTTTGGGTATGTGCACATGATCGTAGTACTCATAGACGCCAGAAGGGGGCATCAGATCGCCAAGAGCTGGAATTACAAGCCTCCCAACATTGGTTGGGACCTCTAAGAGAGCAGTACATACTCTTAAGAACCCAGCTATCACTTTACCCCCAAGAGGCTTTTAATCTTGGGCACCTATTGCACACCTGCCATGTGTCACCAAGAAGAGGAGCCTCAGACACTGTGTGACCCCCATGCAAGAGGGTCTAGTATGTGTGTGTTCCTGGCAATGAAGAAGGGTACCTCCAAGCCCCAAGTGAGTGGGAAAGGATGTGACAATGACACTGCCTAGCATGCACCACACAAACTGGGCATGACAATTCAAGCCTGAATCCCAGCGCTTGGGAGGTGAAGGCAGGAGGATCAGAAATTCAAGATCATCCTCGGCTCAGTGAGCTTGAAGCCAGCTTATATTACATATGACTCCAGCTCAGAAAAATACAAACACTCAGATGAGTGGGGGGCACTTTGAGTTTGGGAATGAGGGTGTGGCAGCAGAGACAGATTAAGGGTAAAGGGTGGACCAAGAGTATAGGGGATGGAGCTGGGACATCTATTGACCCATCAGCTGATGGTGGGTCTTTTCTGCCTCAGCCGGGGGATACTGAGCTGCCAAAGTTGCCGAGGCAGCAAGGGCTGCCAGTGAGGTCCTGCCACAGCTGTGAGCAGTTCTGAAGCGCCCTCCCTGACTTCTCCTTCACACACCATGGAACATCTTGTAAACCGGGAGCTGCTGGATCCTCAGAATGACCCAACACGGGCAGATCCTGGGGGACATAACCCCAGCCACCAGGGGTACTCTCAGCCTGTGACCATGGACACACCAGCAAGAGTGTGTCCACAGACCACAGGATGACAGCACCAGAAAGCCACGTGGCTCTGACATTTACTCAACCCATGGACTGAAGACAAAAAACTGGGGTTCCCACCAGACTCCGCCCCTCCTACCCACGGCCACGTGGATGCAACCTCACTCTCCCCATCCGAAAAGTGGGGGACAATGAGCCTGAGCCCCTAGATTAGTGGTTCTCAACCTTTCTAACATTGTGACCCTTTAACACAAAGTTCCTCGTGTTGTGGTGACACCCCTTCCCCCGACCATAAAATTATTTGGGTTGCTACTTTATAATTGTAATTTTGCTAGTGTTATAAATCATATGTGTTTTCTGATGGTCTTAGGCGACCCCTTTGAAAGGGTTGTTTGACTCCCCAAAAGAGTTGTGGCCCACTGGTTGAGAACCACTGCCCTAAATGGTTGTGAGAAGTGAATGAGAGCAGGCATGGGAGGAACCACAGGAGATTATTAATGTGTGAAGAAGAAAGCATGGGAGATGCTCTGTGTGCCTAGCAGGGCAGGGCCGCCAGCCTCAGGGAACTTCTAGAGAGATGTGGAGATTGAGAAAGAAGCCAGTCCTAGGTGTAGGAAATGCATAGAATAGCCCATTGTCAAGACAGAACTGCCCATCTAGAGAAAAACCAGAAACACTGAGCCCCTGAAGACACCTGCTAGTCAAGCTGTCCCCACCCACACTGGAAGATTAGAGTCAAAAATTATTATTGTATTTCAAGACAGGGATTCTCTGTGTAACTTTCCTGGCTGTCCTGGAACTCACTCTTGTAGACCAAGCTGGCCTCGAACTCACAGAGATCTGCCTGCCTCTGCCTTCCAAGTTCTGGGTTTAAAGGTGTACAAAAACGACTGCCCAGCAAGTAAAAAATTATTAGTAGCCAAGTTTGTTTAACAGTCTACAGATGTGATGAAGTTCACATGTCTGAAAAGCTTTAAAATAAGCAGGGCGTGAAAAATAGAGATAAATCTATGCACATTCTCCCTTGAGAAAAGACAAATACAGGACAAGAGGGCTTAGCAGGTAAAGGTGCTTGCTGCCAAGTGCCCCCTGCTGCCATGGGAGATGGTGTCACCCCTGCTAAGTCTAAGATTCCTCCCCTTACCTCAGCCCTCTTCCCCCAACAGGCAGAGCTTGGCAAGCCCCGGGAGAGAAGCTGCAGCCTGCCTGGCATCAACTTCAATTATGGACTCTACATCCGGGGGATAGATGGAGGAGTCCCCGAAGGTGAGTGGGTGTCCTTGGGAGCACAGAGATTCGAGAGTGGATGAAGGACCCACATCTCCTTCCAACTCTTAGCCAGCTTGTATAAGGCTGCTTGGCTGGGACAGAGGGAAAATAAGAGGGAAAGAGCTGGTACCCCAGTGGTAAGACCACAGGTAAAAAGGAGAGCCACGAGGGGTCCAGGAGCGAGCAGTAGAAAACCATCAAGGATACCCCAAGTGTGACTGACCTCATCCTTTACCATGAAGCAAGCACAGTCTCAGAGCCAACTCCCTGAGGTCCCAGTAGAAGTCAAAGCCAACCGGTTTGGAATTTGTTCTGATGAAATACTCTGACAACAAAGTCAGGCGGTGGAGGCACAGGCAGGAGAATCTCTGAGTTCGAGACCAGCCTGGTCTACAGAGTGAGTTCCAGGACATCCAGGGCTACGCAGAGAAACCCTGTCTGCGGGGTGGGTAGAACTCCGACAACAAACAGTTTTGGGGAGAGGGGGGCTTATTTAGCTCACAGTCCCAGGTCACTGCAGGGGAGTCAGTGGCAGAAGCATAGGGCAGACGGACATTGCATTCTCAGTCAAGGGCAGAGAGGATAAATGTACACCTACCTGCTCACATGCTTGCCTGTGCTCAGATTGACTCTCCATTCTTACACAGTCCAGGACCCCTGCCTAAGAATGGTGCCGCCCACAGTGGACTGGGTCTCCTGCATCAACCAACTTGGTTGAGACAACCACTCACAGGCAAACCCCAACGCAGACAATCTCTTGTTGAAACTAAGTTGACAGTTAAAGCTGACCATCGTGTGCTCCCTTTGGGTTCTCTGGGAGACCTGTCCCTCCCTTCAGGTGACTTGCTAGCCAGGCCAGGCCAGGCCAGTGCTGTCCCCTGTGATGAGAACAATGGGAGCCCTGTACCCTCTCCTCCCACTGATACCCATCCCCCTGTTATCTCCTTGCCTGTAGCCATTGGACACTGGAATGTGTTTAAGCAGCAACCCACCTGCCCCCACGAGCTGACCCGGAATTATATTGCCATGAACCGTGGGGCTGTCAAAGCTGGCTTGGTGACTGCCAGGGAAAATATGCTCTATCGTGAACTTAATGACATCAGAATCAGCGACCAGGAAGACCGGAGACAGAAGGAGCCACCCTCTGTCCCTCCCAATGTGACTTTTGGGATCCGTTCACGGTAAGGTCAGGGAACCCAGCTCCTACCTACTCTGTGGCTAACGAGGGTGACAAGGCCAGCAGGGAACTGTGGGCCAGAAGCAGAGCACTGGAGTAGCTGAATCCAAGCTGTAGAGGGAAGCAGTTGTACGCTGGCTGAAGATTTCTCTTATTCAAGGTCACTGACCAGGTGTGGTAGCACATGCCTACTGTCACAGGACTTTGTAGGCACAGGCAGGGAGATAGGAATTCAGTCATTCTTGTCTATATTGCCTACAAGTTTGAAGCCAGCCTGAGCTACCTAAGACACTGCCTTAAATCCAGTGCCTGCTGCAAAAGCATGAGGACTTGAGTCTGGACTGTGACTAGCCAGGAACCTTGCCTCAGTTCCCATACCCGTACAGTGGGGTCATAGCAGTGACTGCCTGCTGCTTCCCTGCTAAGAGGTTTCAAGGCTTAACTTCATTGAAGACTTTTTATAGGAGCTGGACACAGTGAGCCCTCAGCACATATGAGCTATGTTGGTAGTTAAGATGCTGTAATTCAAAATATAACCCAAGAGCAAGGAGATTAGGGGCTTGAGAGACGGCTTAGCAATGGTTAAGAGCACTTGTTGCTTTTGAAAAAGACCCAGGTTCAGTTCCCAGCACCTACATGGGACTGACAACCATGTATAACTCCAATTCCAGGGAACCTGACACCTTTCTGGTCTCTGTGGGCACTGCATATAAGTGGTGCACATACATGCATGCAGGCAAACACTCACACACATAAAATAAAAATGAACCTTTGTGGTTAGACTATTCCATGGTAAACTATATTATTAGTGTTTGGCTTATGAAATAAAAAATCTCCTGTCACAAACCATCAGATAAACATAGAAAATCTAGCCTGTACCACGGAAGCATGGGCTACACTGAGAAGTGAGCTCTCTGGTCCTGTGATCACATAGACCACATGGGTCCCTGCCCATGTCAGTGCCATGGTCTCTACAGCAAAGAACAGCCAGTCTGGAGCCCAGATCAGTCACTTCACACCAAGCGAACCCACATTTCCCACGGCATCAGGCCTGCTGGCTGCTCACTGTTTTCAGGACCAGCCTCTCCCTAGTTCTGTGCACCCATGCCGGCCTCCTTCAGAGTGTCTCTCTCCATATTTTTTTTTTCCTGTACATCAGCTCTTAGGATTGCCGAGTGCGCTCAAAGATGAACTATAGTCCGTGATGGTAAGACTTCTTTATTCAGGTAAACACCAGAGCAAAACACAAGCCAGAGCGAGCTTACAGGAACCAAGCTAGCGCGGCCAGAGAGAAGGGGCCAGGGTCTCCACGTGCAGCCCTTAAGAACCTTCCTTTATGTCACCCCGACTTCCCTTCACCCCGCCCTTATGGGCGAATCCCAGGTCCACCTGGCACCTGTCCGGGTTGCCTTTGGGAGGGGCTAGGGTGTTTCCCTACAATCACTCCCTGGACATGATGGGTACCCATTTCACCCTGACTCCAAACAGGACTATGGGATCAAGCTTGGCTATTCAGGGACCCCGATTCCGCTGTCCCCAGCAATGAGCTATGCTACTCCACTCCTGTTTTGTTGGTTGGTTGGTTGGTGAGAATCCCAGACCTATCACTTTAACCAGAGGTAATGGGCACATTCCTGTCACTGTCAGCCACCATCCCTCCAGTTGTTTATCTTTCCAAAGTGAAACCCCCCCCCCCCCCCCCCC